CACAACTAAGCCCTTCCCCCCATAGCACTCTGAGCGCTAGAGAATCACAATAATATGTTTATTCCCTCAGTCAGGACGAAAAGCATTATTATTTTTCCCATTACTTCAAATTGGAAACTCTTCCCAACGTCAAAACTGCCAGAGAAGTGAGCTGAAGGTTAAGTTAAAACTTATCTATCTGACACTAATATCTGACATCCACAATGGTCTGGTTGCAGGCCAGGACAAGAAGCTGAAATTACAACAGCGACTACAGCGATGAGTCCTGCAGCTAGTGGAGAAATGGTAGATAACCACCTTCATTCTTGATCCCTCTGCTAGAGCTGACCAGTTCCTGAGAGCAGAAAAGAAGGTAGGACTAAAGTCCAACACAGCAAAGGTAGCAGTGTTAGGTATGTCCTCCTCCCCTTAAAAGGAGCTCTAGCTAGAGTAGCTGACTGAAGGGAAACTTCTGGCCCAGTCTCTCCACCCAGAGCATTAAAGTTCTCCCAAACTCCCCTTCGTTTTTCCCTACCCCACCCAAAGCCCACTAACTCCACTCCTCTCCAGCATTCTCTCACACCTGTGTCAGACCCTCTATTCCATTCCTGCCAGGTCCACCTATTCCCCTGGTTCTTCTCACCAGGATAGCCACTTGAGTTACCCACCCCTCCCATAGGAGAAGCACTATGATCCTCTCATGCAGCCTTGAAATCTGCTGCAGGGCTTCTAAGACAGCAGCACTCCCCAACCTCTGTAACTGGCATGGAGTAAAAAGACTGTGTACAGATAGCACTTACCGAAAAATCGATCAGGACGAGACTGCAGAGGAGAGAAATATAAAAAAGGGAATGCGTATTTTCTCTGTGCTTTGAGTTCCTCCGGAGGGAATGGTTCCAAGAAATGATGGGAGGGGAATTCTAGCTTCAAATCTAGCTTCAAAATAGTGTTCTTACCTGCAGATTTTCCCCAAGGATCAACACGCTCAAGCAGTCTTCTCAATGCTAACGTGAAGCTATTGGGAAACTTAATTTGACAGCAATGACTAAACTAGATGGCACCAAGTTTACTTGTCCTCTGCCACACACACCTACACGTCAGTACAATTAATGTGGCCCAGTGCTGAGGAGATGAACTCAAGCAAGACTACAGCAGTGCCTGGGGACAAAGAAAAGCATTTCAAAAGCTCTGGCAGCATTAACACCATTTCCTTTGACAAAAGGGACACTCCCGATTAGTTAGTTAAAGCTAAGTGCCAGCTTCCAATTCAGTGCTAAATTATCTTATCGTGTGAGAATCTTTGTTAGTATTAATACTAAAGACAGTTATACAGAGAGTATAATATACCATACAGCATGAGAGGCTTATCAGCTTTACTCCAATGTACTGTAGAATTCTGACATTGGTGCAGTGCCTAAATTTCTTCAGGGCTAATCCAATGAAATCTCATAGGAACCACGAGATCTCAGCATTTTCAATTCCATCCAGTAGTGACGATAAAAACAAACATAGCAATTTGTATAGCTGATACAGGCTAGAAAAAATCAAAATCAATCTACCTACTTCCACCCTGAAGAGGGCTTAAGGCATTACTGGACTTTGTTCCCTTTCAACAGAGACTGTAATACTGAGGTGCCTCAGATTACACAGAACTGACACACAGATTTTATTTTAGTATCACTTAGGATCAGGAGCCTAAGTACAACTGATTTTTTAAAAAGCTTTTGAAAGTATTACGCACATTCATGAGAACATAGGAGAAATACGATAAAACCCAAGTAATTTCCAAAATGCTCTTCTTTTTATGTTGTCAATGCCCTTCCCCTACTTTAGAACAAAGACCTAAGTAACCCACATTAAGCAAGCACTATCACAAAGGAGTGTCTAGATACTGATATATAAACAAACATGCTTTTTTTGTGTGCAGAACATACTTCTTTTAGGTGTTCTCCATACAACATTCACCTGATATTTAAATTTTTCCTACCAAAAAACCCATTAAATTCTACATGCTGAAAATGAGCAGAAGAGCGCAAGTTGGCACTGATCATCTGGAAGACGCCAGATCATACTCTACTTGCTTCATTCCCACAGCTCTTTGCCCTTGGCACTTAAAAGAAGCCCAGCATCAGGAATTCAATAGATTTCAAATTTTATCATAAGACAGGCTGTTTGGCAACTGCTCATTTATTTACTATACACGTATAAGATCTGCCCTTCTAGGTCACATCGAAGTTCCATCATTTCCGTGGTAGATGCACAGAGAAAAAGTTAAACAAACAAGATAAACATACAGCAATATTTACAACTTCCTGAGCCATAAGTCACATCTGGAGAACCATATTTAACAGCCACTGATGGCCATACACTTCCCTTTTTTGAATCCACTTAAAAGTTTTACTCAGAACCTACACGTTAACTGCAAGACAGGGAGAACATCCAAAAAGACAAAAGCAAAATGCTGTGCATCTTTAGTAGTCGTGTGATACAGTCAACCCTCGTGACATCACATGCTTCACTAAGTTCAATCATAAAAGCAGAGAAAAAAATATTCCACAAGTGAAAGGTCTCATCCTGTCTGACATGCAAAATCAGTGCAACTCTGTACGACTACTATGTGTCTGGATGTGCAAGCACAAATACACATTATACATAAATACAGAGTTCTAGGCAGGCTTTTTCACTTGACTTAAGACTAGATAAATGTCACAGACTAACTGTCTCCTGTTATTACTAGGATTTGCAAGCAAAAGCCCACTAAAGTTAACAAGTTTCACTAAAAAATTATTTTGGTTTCTGTTAAACATGTGACAGAACAATGGAAAATTACTCAGTTTTCCCCTCAAAGGAATACAAATCCTATAAATACACGCAAAACGGATACAGACATTTGTCCTACATATATTCCTGGGATTTCTTAAATGTATTGGTCTGGCTTAAGCAGTGAGAGCTGCTGGCCCATAAAAGGAATTATGAGCACACTCTGCTTTTGAATTGCAAGAAGGTCCTACTCATGTGTGGATTTACGTTATCTTATTACCAGTTTTCTTCTGAAAAAATTACATCTCTTGTCCACATATCTCTGCTGCCTATGAAGGGTAAATGCCCTTATTTGCATGTGCCTTATAATGCAGAGAAAATGCATGCTGTAATTTAAAATGTTTAATTTACTTCAAAAAAACCCCACAAACACAAAAAACCCCTTTAATATTAATTTTAGCAAGCAAAAAGCATCAGGCCCCTTTTAAAGGTATACCAACAGTTTTGGCCATGCACTAAAAATTATTTGCTTTCTTTTTTTACTGATAGATCATTTAAGAATATTCTTCTTACGCGAGTTTCCCCTTCTCTCCATTAATTCAAATTCAGTTTTGTTCCTCCAGATTAACTTTACCTTTCTACATAAAATGCCTCCTCTCTTTGTATTCAAAGGCTTCCTTTGTTTGAAAGAGGGTTACTGGTTTCACTATTGTATGATGATTTTTTTCTACTGTACAAGGCTTGCTACTATCTAGTCACTATTAGCTACAAATCTAAACCATGCAGTTGCTGCAGATCATTCTCTAATAGTGTTCTGCAATCAGCTGGACATGAAAACCTACGCTGAACCTATTAAATGCTCCTGTAAAAATAGGAAGTATTCAGTTCTGGCACTTTGAAGTCCTACTGATTTGAATAAGACTTAGTGAAACACAGGAGGTACCATTTGAGCATCAGGAAACACTTTTTTTACTGCGAGGGTGACTGAGCACTGGAACAGGTTGCCTGGGAAGGTTGTGGAGTCTCCATCCTTGGAGATACTAACGAACGTCTGGACATGGTCCTGGGCAACCAGCTCTAGATGGCCCTGCTTGAGCAGGGGGGTTGGACCAGATGACCTCCAGAGGTCCATTCCAACCTTGACCATTCTGTGATCATTCAACTATCAAGACACCTGAGAGATCATGAGAAATAAGCTGCTACTACCATTTCACCAGCTGACCTCTGTCCACATGCAGCTAACATCTGGTTCAGTGGAACTACTCAATAGGATGACATACCATTTCATACTCATACCAAATCTATTTTTTAGGATTAGCGTAGGAGTAAGTACACAGGAACACTTTTTTACAGGACAAAGGAAAACATAACCTTTTAAAAACTGCTACAGAAATAGAAATACCAGTAATCTAACTGGAGATAGAACATCAAGTTGGTCCTGGTGTTAGCTTATTTACACCTTTCACCTTTCACATCTCCCTACTTGTTACATTTCTTCTTAAATTTCATTAGAATAATCAGGAAAGGGGCCATCTTTCAAAATTAATTTCTCTGTTGACTACTGTAATGGGATCTTGAGCCTGAATAGGACTCACAAAATAAATACAAGAAAAATCATACTGGTACTAATCAGAAAACGACCCGAATGTAACGCATTATTTTCACTAGCAGGTTGACTCAGTGCTGCATGTGGTGGTATAAAGCAAACCACAAATACTCATTCATATGCCACACAACTATTGTGGAACTGATGTTGCACATGGAAAAGAAACTGTTTATCAAAATAAACACGTGGTACGTTCCGTCCCAAAGATCCACTCTCCGAGGTCTAATATAGCAGAATTCTTTCCCTTCCTGTGGAGAAAATCTGAAGGGTTACCCCCTGCAATGAATCATTCCCTCACACACCCGCGTGATGTTTGCTTTGGCTACGGCTCACAGTTACATATTGCAGAGGACATACAACTCAAATAGGGTAATCAAGTTTTTTACTCATCTTTTATTCAACTCATTTTGATGAAGTAAAGAGTTGAAAATATGATTTTAAGTAAAGCTTTTCTCATTAAAAGAAAGGCCAGAAATACAAGAAACTTAGCAACCACTCCCTTCTAATATGACTGCTCTTTGCTTTAATGACCTTCTCTCTCCAAAAAAATATGACATAAAGAGAAAAATCATTACTTTTTTTTTCTTACTGATAATGTGACAGCCTATATAGTACATACTCAGTCAAAGTGTCCTTTTAAAAAAATTCAAGATACTTACGGAGTCCAAACCTTTGGAAAGGCAGCAATTTCTTCTGGTGTATATTCATCTAACCTCTTGGGGACTGCACGTGGCTGAGGAATCTCTTGTAGAAGATTCTTCTGTATATCTTCTGGAATAACCTGAGGCAGGTGAAAACAGTCTTAGCTGATTGTTTAAAAACCAACACCACTCCCCCCCCAAATCCAGACCAAAATTTGTCAACACTAATGCATTCTTCATGATAAGTGTTTGACCTAAATACAGAACACAATCTCACATATCTTATATCTTACAATTTTGTGAAATAGTAAAGAAAAAAGCATCAGCATTTCAACTACATTTAGATACATAAATAAAAAGCAGCTTGATTTTTCTTAATTTACCTTCTTATGACAAGAGTTTTGCTATTGCTAACACTCCCTCTTCACCTCCAAATCACACAGGAATGAAAACGTAACTGCATGACTACTCACATCTTCTGGGAACAGGTGCAGCCTCTGCATCATAGTCCTCCTCTGAAGGTTTTTCGGAAGCATTCTATAAACAGTCAGTTTAACAATCTGAGGAAAGATAACATGGTAACAAATAATCAGACGGGCTACAAATAACATGAAAAAGGTAAGCTGTGTTTCCCTCTGCCCATTCCACTAGTCACTGAACCTCTTTTCAGTCAACTTCTTTCATGCTGAAGAACTCTGGCAACACATTCAGAAGGTGCTTTACACTTACTGTTTTGGAAGAAGAAATACTTACTCCCTGTTATATAAACACTTACTCTAACAGCCATATAGAAAATTTCAGCTTACAAAGTTAAGAGCTATATTTAGCATTGTGGATGATCACATATGATCATTCAACTTTGAAAAGAATTGAGAAGCTTGTGGTAACTCCGTATCACATTGCACATTTATATGCACATGTTATTGAGGAAAAAAAAATAATAGGCTCTAATAAATTTATCAAGTGTTCCCAGCAACTAGTTTAACACTGTAATTTGCTGTGTTTGAAATTTCTATACAATTAATGCATCGTATCTTAAGCAAAGCTGACATACCAATACATTGCATTATGAACATACTATGTATATTTATATATTTATTCCCTTGCTACTAGTTCCAGACGAACAATCTCACTTCTGAGTATCAGGAACGAATAGAATTTGTACATTTACACTAGATGATGCTTACTGAAAAGTAACAAAATTCAACAGGATTTCTCTTGGACTCTAGTATAGATGCCTGTAATTTAAATACAAAACACATTGTTACGGATTTCTCCCAGAAGGGGAACATTTGTAAATGAAAACAAGGCATGCAACTGTAGGAGAGATAAAGAGTTTTATGAAGGACAGCAAGGCATTTAGGGTGAGACCTATGAGCAATTTTCTAAGTAGAAGGAAACCCTGTGCTCCAAGCCACCCAGACACAAACTAACTCCAAATCAGAAACTACCCATGCTTAAAGCAATGTTAAGCTGAAGTCAATAAGCCACACTGAAATGCAGTGCACTAAGCACAAACAAATCTCCCAGGCATCCGGATATTTTGAAAAGTGTATTGAGCAAAGTTGCTTCTTTTTACAAAATTAATTAAAGGAAATAAATTGAAATTTTAGAGACAATCACTAATAGTATGTTCCCAGCTGGAACCACGTAGTTAAGATAGAATGATTAATTGTTGCAAGTGGAATTAATGAGAAGTGCAGATTCTTAAACTTGCACTACTTGGATTCTGAAGTTAGTAAACACTCAGCATAGTTTGGCCCCAGTATTATTTTCATTTTGCCATGTAACAGACAGTAATGTTGTCTTAGGATCCTCATAAATATATACTATATGCCTTGAGAAACTCTGAAGGCATTTAGAAAAGCCTCAACATCATGAAGATTTTCAGGTGTTACGCAGCCAGTACCACAAATCTGTGGACAAATGTAATAAATCAAGACGACAGAAGAAATACATCAGGTCGGGCAGAGTAAACTATAGTGTTGATACTTTCTCTAATAAAAATTAATAAGCAACTATTAAAAAACAAAGATGAAAACTAATGCTTTTAGGGATAAAAACTATTCATGCTTGTACAGCAAGCTACAGTTTATTTAGTCAGTATACCACGTGCTTAGACAAAGGCAAGATGAAGATAGAAAATGAACCTTCGCTGGTTTACTTCACTGAATACTGAAAACCAAGTGACACACCATAACAATATAAGAAAATACACGGATATTTAGAGCAGCTCATGTGAACAGCCCTTTTACCATTAGTAATTTTCATTTTAATACACTTATTTTCCTTTCTACCCAATATTTTTCCTTATAGCCAACGAAAGATCAAAATACATCAGATCTAAAACAACAGATGCAGAGACTTCACAACATATTGCCTATCTGTGGGGATTTTTTTCTTTATCTAAAAATTACTTTTAACTTCAGATTGCGATAGAACCAGTATTAATTCCTTAGATTAATAAACTGTACATACATATGGTCCAACATATGACCTATGACCTACAGATACACAGAGCTAGTTATTTAATGATTTCACTCCAATAAAAAGAGAGACTTTTAAATACTTTAATGAACATTGTTAAATATTTTACTTCTTCAAACAACCAATGTTTGTGTCCGATTTTTTATCTTCCTCTGCAGCATGTGGCACAGATATCTGTTGAAACAAACCAGTGAGCTAGACAAAAAGCTGGTCTATGCTGGTTGTAGATACTTCTGCCTGGTGAATCTGATCCGATTTTTTTAGCCACATTACAAAGAGAACAGTTCAGTTGTAAAAATGTGCCTATTAAAACGTCACATTGGAAAAGAATGACTGATTTATAGGCTCAAGTTAAACAGGAAATACTTTCAATGTTGTGTACAGTCACTGCAGAACTGACAACCTCAGGAGACAACAGACTAACAGACTTGGAGTATGATAATGGATAATGAATGATCATGGATAATTATATATTCAATAATTCAATAGTTTCTATAGATAAGTATGCTAAGTGCAATAAGCATAATCCAAGGCATGCTTTAGTACGTCTGCCAATCTCCATGCTGTTCAAGAACTCATTTGGCTTTCCGTGCCCTCTCACACATGCAAGAAGTGCATTACCGCAAGATCTGCAATAGAAAAATCACCCTCACATGAAGCACAAACCATGTTTTACTGCCAGGCAGACCATAGAACTATAGGACGGGGCATCCACAACTTCTCTGGGCAACCTGTTCCAGTGTCTCACCACCCTTACAGTAAAAAATTTCTTCCTTACGTCCAGTCTAAATCTACCCTCTTCCAGTTTAAAACCATTGCCACTTGTTCTGTCACTACAGGCATTGAGGAAAAGTCTTTCTCCATCTTTCTTGTCCCCGTTATATATTGAAAAGCCACAATAAGGTCTCCCTGGAGCCTTCTCTTCTCCAGGCTGAACAACCCCAACTCTCTCAGCCTTTCTTCATAGGAGAGGTGTTCCACTCCTCTGATCATTTTCCTGGCCCTCCTCTGGACCTGCTCCATCAGGTCCATGTCCTTCTTGTGGTGGGTACCTCAGAGCGCAGTACTCCAGGTGGGGTCTTACCAGAGCGGAGTAGAGGGGCGAGGTCGTGATAAACTATTATTTGAGACTTATCAAAAGCCAAATAAGCATATTACTCAGCCAGCTGGCATGTAAATTTAAAAGGTCCTGCTATTCTGTACTTTTATTATTGATTTACTGCAAGTTAGTTAGTCCAACTACAGAACAGAAGGCCATACAGGGAGCTAGGATAGAGAAGGTAGTACTGGAAAACCTTTAACTTCCTTCATTCTAACTTCTGCCTCAAAGACTTTTCTACAAGCCAAAGCAAATCCAAACCCAGCTCCTGGAAAGACCAAGTTTACATCCAGGTCCTTGTCCAAAATTCTGCCTACAGCCAGAACCTCACTCTTTCATAGGAGAGGTGTTCCACTCCTCTGATCATTTTCCTGGCCCTCCTCTGGACCTGCTCCATCAGGTCCATGTCCTTCTTGTGGTGGGTACCTCAGAGCGCAGTACTCCAGGTGGGGTCTTACCAGAGCGGAGTAGAGGGGCGAGGTCGTGATAAACTATTATTTGAGACTTATCAAAAGCCAAATAAGCATATTACTCAGCCAGCTGGCATGTAAATTTAAAAGGTCCTGCTATTCTGTACTTTTATTATTGATTTACTGCAAGTTAGTTAGTCCAACTACAGAACAGAAGGCCATACAGGGAGCTAGGATAGAGAAGGTAGTACTGGAAAACCTTTAACTTCCTTCATTCTAACTTCTGCCTCAAAGACTTTTCTACAAGCCAAAGCAAATCCAAACCCAGCTCCTGGAAAGACCAAGTTTACATCCAGGTCCTTGTCCAAAATTCTGCCTACAGCCAGAACCTCACTCTAACTGGTGTGATGAGAAGTCAAAGAAGTTAGTAAAGTACAGGCTTAACTGAAGTTGTACAGAGTGCTTTTGCAACTTGAGTAAGGTTGTGTAACAGAAAAGGCAGATCCAACCAGCAATATTTACAGGGTGTTAAGTAAGGGCTCTCCTGTTATCTGAACATGCTCAAGTTTTACTAAAAATACACCAACCCTAAATAAAAAGATACGGAATTGCAAGAAAAAGTCTGCTTACTGAGCTCATGCAAAACCCAAACCCAGATTCAATGCTCCCTGAAAGCACACATCAGAACATGCTGTTTAAGGAATTAACAGCAACAAAAAAAATCTTTCTATATGCTTGTAATACACTTCTAATAAAAGACAATTCTTATTGTTTTCTATGTGATTATGTTTACTTTGAACTATTAAAATAACAAGAGTTCAATTTTACATAAAAGGTATAAAACCGAGTTGATTTCTGTGGCATTTCAAACTGGCAAAGAGGTCTACCTACCCACAGGTCTCACTGCAATCTCGAACTCAATTTAAAACTAATTAGTACAGTTTAAGAGTTTATTCAGTTATTTATGTATTCCTACTGCCTCCTCTCCCCAGTTCTTTATCTTTAATACTAGCAACCTGTAAAATTCCATAGCCTCATAAATACTCCTAAAGGCCATGACACTTTCTCCATCAGGTAAAGACATCCACCATCAGATGTATACAGCCACCAGAGTGTTAATATTCTGGGATTTCTGAAGTACTGGAATGCTGTTTGCCCAATTTCTTTTGAATTACAAAATTCCTATTGGCTCTAGTTACAATTGTCATCTTGAATATTGCAGTACCTTTTTTCCAAGTTGGCTAATCTATCAACTTACAGCATGCTCTTAATCACACAGTTGTACGACGTTACATTTTTAGTTTCCCATTTAAAGGGCTAATTAGAAGGAAAGGAATCTGAAGGCAGCTCTAGTAAAACTCTTGCACTTTCAGTCCCTTACTACACGGTCTAACATTTTATGAGTACAAGTAAATTAAACATATTTATTTGAAACGCTGTGTGAGGCTTGAACATTCCAATTTTTGTGATAGGCTTTGGCTCACATGCAAGTTGCAGACTACGCCTCATGGAGAGCAAGTTCTGACAAAGATTCTTTGCCAGATAAAACACACTTTAAAGAAGG